GAGTCCTGCTTCTATTTTAGGATGCTCACAGGTTCATGGGTTAGGGAAAGGAGACAGGGTATGATAGCAACAACTTGTCCCACTATCATAATGACTGAAGCCTCCCCTGAGGTGGCTTAAAATGTCAAGATGTCTAGGACAGTTTCATTGGGCCAGATGTTTAGGGCCTTTGTTCTGGCTGTCTGTTGAGCTCTTCATTTCTTCCTACATACCAGATCGGACATGCCCAACATTGCTTTCTCATTTACATGTGTGATGTCTAAGCAAGGGTGGCCATCACCGCCAGGAATGTCCAGGATCTCTCACTGCTCTCTCTTTCTGGTCAGACTTCCTATATGCAACTGGCTACTCCCAGTGTGAAAATTCCAAGAGACTTATGAAGTAGACTCAGAGGTTACATAGTCTTATTTTTTCATATTCTGTTGGTCAAGAATGAGTCACAAGCCTAGTCCAGAAAAAAAAAAAAAAAAAAAAGACAGGGGATTTAGACCCTCCCACTTCTTAACTAGAAACACATCAAGTAATTTGTTGCCATTTCAATCCATTATACAAGGTTGGTTGGATCCACACCAACCTTGGTAAAGACACAGTTGACTATTTCTCAGTGGGGAGAATTTTCCCAAACACCAACATTCCTTATAGAATGATTACACACAAAGTGGAGTTCTGTAGAAATCAGTGGGGGGGGGGGGGAGGGTTAAGATAGACCCTTATTACCCCAACTCCATTTTCCATGTTACATTTTCCAAGAGGGAAAAATGTTAGGTTATTACTTTCAGCTTCTCTCACTGCCTTAATTCTCTCTCAATTTCTCTTCTTCCCACCAGATGATGGAAAATTGTTTGGTGAGAGTTCATGAGTGGTCTTAGTCTTTGGCTCCCGTAGGACTTGCCTGCTCACTGGTCTAAGATAAGATTTCTCCCCTCCTCCTTGTGATCAGCTATGAGGGTGGTGAGAGCAATGGGTGGAGGCCACTCTTCTAGATGGAAGCTGCTTGGACTTTGAATTCAAGGAGAAACTTCCACACATCTTCAGGAATAAGCCAGAACTTATATTTTAATGTATATGTGGCCTTGTGTCTCTTTTTGAATTGTCTTGGAGTCTAGAGCTCAGAGTGATGTGAGCAATTGGCCTAATGCTAACCTCAATCTCTCTTGAGGTGAGAAAACTAAAACTGAACGCATTGGGTTTATATTAAACATTTCCCTATGTTGCAAATATTAAAAAAATTCACATATAACCTTTTATAAATAATACTCTCTTTTTAAATTATAGTTTGTTTTACTTATTAATTTTCATACTATGTGATTCAAATATTCCAGAAGGGTGCAACAAAATAATACCGGTACTGACTTGGTTTTTTATTCTTGTTCTAAACATCAATATTGTTTTACTGATAAGGAGTTAAAAATATATATCATTTTTACATTAAAAATAACCTATATGAGAAATGCATTCCCTAATTTAGATAGCCATGGGCCATTTTTCTTCTTATTACATTTACTATCATATATAACGAGGTGGTCATTTAGGTGCACGTTTAGAAATTTTCAAGTACTAGATGCCCAGTGCATGAAATTTGTGCACAACTAGGGTCCCTAAGCTTGGCTGTTGATCAGGGCCGATCTGAGCCTTCTGGCTGCAGCTGGGAGCTTCCTTCCAGCTGCCATCTGGGACTTCCCTTTCCTGGCTGCCTGCTGCTGACTGGGGCCTTCCTTCATTCCAGGCCACTCACTGATAGTCAGCATATATCCTAGTGAGCCATAGAACTCCTGGTCTCCTGGTGAAACTCCCGAGAGGACACTCTCCATATTAGCCTTTTATAAATATAGATTCTTGGCTCGGGGAGTGGCAAACTCCATTTAATGATGGTGAAATCATTCTTTCTACAAATGAGAAGGGTTTTCACCTATTTTCCTTATATTAACATATTGAATGAATGGGATTGTGCTAGTTTCTTTGTGTTTACAATCTTCGTCAGCTTTTGACAAAGTTAACAGTGTGCTAGCTTCCTAAAATGAATCTGATAGTATTCTGCTGACAATAACTGCTTTGATTAGATTCTTTAAAAACATTAAATTAAATTAAACATATCAACACAGGTCTTAGCACTTTGAAATCACTATTAAACTTGATATTTATTTGTATAGTTGATATTTATTTATTTGCTGGGAACCAGGAAGTCAGTAATATACATATAATGAGGCACAAATGGTAAGAGGAAAAGACACTTTTGAATCTGTGCCTGTCATACAGAATAGGAAATGGGAAGATTAGAGGAACAAATAAAATGTACCCACTTAAAAAATATAGTAAACCTAAGAGAATACAACTTTTTCTTACAATGGTTTCTGATGCGTAGCTATCTTTAGACACCTTATTTTGAAGCCTTAATTTGAAAATTCCTTCCAAAAGGAAGTTACTGCAGATAAGCAAAAACAGACGAGGTATGTGTCTATGAATGTGCCACTCACTTTATAGTTACAGGACGCTTTATTAATCATTAGCATTGATATTTACTAAAGCATGTAGTTCATTTTCGGCAATAGGACCAATTTAGATCTCTCTTATATGTAGAAGAGAAAATCCCCTTATGCACTGAAAGTAACCCCAGGAGATGACATTTACAAGCGCATAGAGTCATTCATTTTTGTATTTCTATTAGCAATGGAAAGAAATGCTTTAACTACTAAGGAAGACCCCCAGAGAGTGTGTAGGAGCTAAAAGAACAGAACAGTTTATTCCCTCATCTACAAACCAAGCCATGAACCAAAACAACCAAGACATGACCCAGCCATCACTATGCAAAGGCAGGAGAGGAGAGTTGCAGAGTGAGAAGCAATTGAGAAGAAATGGCTCTGAGTCTGAGATGCATTAGAAAATCATCAACAAAGCATCCAAGGCTAATTCAGAGATTAAAAAATGTTCCTTCAGAGCAAGTGTAAGATGCTTTGCTAGGCACGTATGGAAGCTACAGATGAAAAGGTAACTCCAGAGTTAAAAGCTAAGGCAAATACTGTTTCAGCTCTATACTATAGTGGGGAATATGGCACATACACACAAATAAATATCCACACGTCTAAAATGTTAATAAGCAACTTAAGTGTAAACTAGAGGCCTGGTGCACAAATTCGTGCTGGGGGGAGCCCCACTGGGTGGTCTGCAGGGATTGGGCTCCAGCTTGTGTACCCAGCCTAGCATCCCTGCCTGGCACCCTACCTTGGCCTGGTGTCCTCCCTTCACCTGCTCCACCATTCTGCTTGCAGGGTGTTTGATTGGGGCAGGGCCTCCTGCCCAGCTCTGTCAGTGCCTGGGAGCTGGGCAGCAGCCCCACCCCCTGTGATAGACTCCTGGATCACACAGACCTGATTTTAGGTTCCAATTTTTCCTCTGTTGTAGAGTAGCTGGGTGATTGGGTGGTTATGATGAATACACATATACATATAGTAGTACATATATAACATGTACATATACAGAGAATGTATAAACTGCTTAGAATTGAGTTTAGAAATTATCAAATACTCAATAATTGGTAGCTATTATTATTTTAGCAATATATTTTTTAACATATTTTTAATTGATTTTTTTACAGAGAGGAAGAGAGAGGGATAGAGAGTTAGAAACTAACTGCCTCTTGCATGCCCCCCACTGGGGATGTGCCCACAACCAAGGTACATGCCCTTGACTGGAATCGAACCTGGGACTCTTCAGTCCACAGGCCAATCCTTTATCCACTGAGCCAAACCGGTTTTGGCTGGTAATGTCTTATTAAAGAGAAAAACTTATGCATTTGATCAACTGGCAATATTTCACTTATAATGTTACATAAACCTTAGATTTTGTTCTTTAAGTTTTAAATTTTATTTTCATCAAAAAATACTGTTATAAGAAAGACATTTTAAAATCTATTCTAGGAGATGATTTTTGTTTTCCTATATCTACAACATTACATTCCTTTGGTTCTTTCAAGATGTTTGGTCAACAAGAACACACAAATAAGTTCAGTATTTATATATGCAGATCTAGATGTATCTGTTTGTGTAGGAAACAATTTATTGGCTTGATCAGCTACTCTGGTTTGAACATGTGTGGGAAACAACCAATCAATGTGTCTCTCTCAATAGATGTTTTCTCCCTCTTTCACCTTTGTTCCTTCCATTGTCTTTAAAAATTAACGGAAAGATACCTTCAGGTAAGGATTAACAAAAAATAAAAATAAAAAAAATATTGAAGGATAATTGATAAAACAAAAACATTATTTTGCAAAAATTACAGAAACTCAATTTATAAATGTAATATTTATATTTTCATTTGACATTATTAAAAAAGGTGCAAGAAGATTTTAAAATTAAAACTTTATTAAATAAGGCGTTATGTTGATGCCAAACCGGTTTGGCTCAATGGCTTGGGGACTGAAAGGTCCCAGGTTCGATTCCAGTCAAGGGTATGTACCTTGGTTGCGGGCATATCCCCTTTAGGGGGTGTGCAAGAGGCAGCTGATCGATGACTCTCTCTCATAGATGTTTCTAACTCTCTCTCTCTTTCCCTCTCTGTACAAAATCAATAAAATATATATTTTTTTTTTTTAAAAAGCTAAGTTGATAGAAATACATTTCTTAGGAAATCTAATGTTTTTATATAGTTTTGTCAGATATATATGAGAGTGATACAATTATAAATATATAAGCAAATAGAATCAAATAAATTTTTATCCTATAGGTATAGTTTTATATATAATTTGTCCCAAATGGGTTTTTTTACTTAATAATAGAGCTTTCAGATTCATAGTTTTTCCATTGGGAACGAAATATTTCCAGTAAAAGTAAAAGGAAGGTATAGCAGACATATGCAGAAATGTAGGAAGAAGTTATTTCCACCCTAAATGCCCCCGACCCTTCACTCACTGCAGTGGCTCCTACTCCTCTTTCTCTAATGCTCTGCTCTCACTCCTCTGTACCTGAGACAGCTGCCCTCTCAGATGGCCATGGAAAGAGGGAGAGATGGCTGCACTCCTCAGCCATCATGGCTTTGGCCTGTGCAAAGCTGGCTTTGCTGGGGATGATGCCCTGGGTCATGATCCCTCACACTCTCAAGTGCTCCTGACACCAGGGCATTATGGGTTGGACATGGGGCAGAAAGACAGCTACGTGGGCAACAAGACCCAGAGCAAAGGCAGCATCCCGACCTTGAAATACCTCATGGAGCATAGCACCATCACCAACGGGGATAAAATAGGGAGGATCTGGCACCACACCCTCTACAACTTGTGCATGTGTCCCCCAAGAAGTGCTTGGTGCTGCTGATCTAGCCCCTCCTGAATCCCAAGGCCGCCCGTGAAAAGATGACTCAGATTATGTTTGAGACCTTCAACATGAGGGCCATGTACACAGCCAGCCAGGCTGTCCTGTTCCTGTGTGCCTCTGGCCACACAACTGGCATTGTTATAGATTCTGAGGATGGAGTCGCCCACACTGTGCCCAACTACGAGGGCTACACCCTGTCCCACACCAAACTGTGTCTGGACTTGGCTGGCTGGAACCCAAGCCACTACTTCAGGAAGATACCCAGGAGTGTGCTGCAGCTTCACCACCACTGAGAGCAGGAAATCATGTGTGACACCAGGAGAAGCTCTGCTATGTGCCCTGGACTTCCAGTGGGCCGTGGCCACCACCCGAGCGCAAGTCTGGATCTGGACTGGTGGCTCCAACCTGGCCTTGTTGTCCACTTTCAGCAGATATGCATCAGCAAGCAGGAGCATGACCAGTCAGGCCCCTCCATCCTCCTCTAGAAATGCTTCTAAATGTGCAGCAGACCAGTAGCATTTGCTGCGTGAGCTAATCAAGTCTGAGTTTGATGTATACACCTGGCAAATGTGTGCACCACATGCTGGCCTGGTGAAACTGGGATAAACCTTCAGAAATAAATTGTTCTGGAAGCTTGTATCTGATCTCAGCATTGGATGGTAGACCTGGCTGCTGACTGTGACCTTGTATTTAAGGTCACTGTTCCTTTGGTACATGTTTAATGTCCTGTTACATATCTTTGATTTAAACCCTATACGTGGAGTCAGTGACTTGGTGGCTGAAACGAGAACGTGTTTCTGCACAAGAAATCCAGTGGCTTGATGAGAACTGGCGAGACCACGAATCCCAATGTGTGCAGGATATTAACCTGTGGGAGATGCCTATTCTGGGATTTCTCCAGGTGCTAGTACATGTCTTAAATCAACTGTCATTTCTGACTTGCTATCTGATGGGATTGGGGCCAGTCAGAGAAAGGCAAATACTATATGACTTCACTTATATGTGGAACTGAAGAAATAAAATTAAATAAAAGTGTCACACCAGGGCAACTAATAAGAACAAGCAAACAAAACAAATTTCCAGAAACTAGCCAATGAGGTTGCCTCCAAGGCTTGGTCTCCAGATAACAAACTGGCCCTGCACAATCTTCCTGGAGGTGGATCAGAGGCCGAGAGAAGCAGCCAGGCTGAGACCATCCTGGACATTTAGGCTTTTGTGGTGACGGGTAAGTGGGCATGGGTGTAAGGACAGGGCCCTGAGTGTAGCCTGGAGCTCCCCAGTCCTCCTGTGGCGTTCAAGACAGGTCCAGTGTTGATGTTTGCTCATATGCCACCTCAGGAGCCTAGACATTTTCAGTCAAGGGGGAAGGAGCCTTTGCTGAAATCTGTGCTGGCGACATATAGGATCCCTGCAATGTTTGTGCCCTGGCAGAGGGCACAAATGGTAGGGGACACATGCTCTGCTGCACGGGTATCATATGGAGCTGAAAAGAGAGCCAGGGAAAAAAAGGACAGGGAGTGGAGGGGAGCGTACTTTATATACCAGAGCTTTGTAGATGTTTTAGCAGATTCTCAGACCAACCTCAGGAGGCAGGTTTTGATTTTACTCCGTGGTACAGATGAAGAAATGGAGGCTCAGAGAAGTTGGGTGGCATGCCCAAGGTCACACTGCCAGAAAGGAATGGGGTCAGGATCAAATGCAGTTCTTTCTGGTCCTACACCTTCTCCCGGGGGCTGTGACCTGCTTCCTTGGGCAGCAGCAGAAAGACGAGCCCTAGAGCAAGGTCTCTCTCTTGTTTCCGGAGGTGGGAAAGGTGAGGGTTTTCATGTGGCTTCCTCTCTCTTTCCCAGGGCTCTCTCTGGTGGACTCTGAGACTCAGACACACAGGTCTTCCATGGCTCCTTACCACATCCGCAAGTACCAGGAGAGAGACCGCCCCTGGATCATGGGCTTGTTTTCCCAGGGCATGGCTGAGCATGCTCCCCGCACCTTCCACCACCTCCTGAAGCTGCCTAGGACACTTGTGCTCTTGCTGGGGGGGCCCCTTGCCCTGTTTCTGGTCTCTGGTTCCTGGCTCCTGGTTCTCTTGGCCGGCCTCACCCTGCTCTCCGCCTTGAGGTTCCTTGCCCAATACCCCTGGACCCAGATTGTGACCTACTATCTGCACACAGACTTGTGTGACATCAGCAAATTCTACCTCAGTGAGCCGGGCTCCTGCTTCTGGGTGGTTGAGTGTGAGGGGCAGGTGGTGGGCATGGTGGGAGCTCTGCCCGCGGAGGAGCCCGCCATGCAGAAGAAGCAGTTGCACCTGGTCCACTTGAACATAGCCTTGGAGCACCGGCGCCGGGGGATAGCAAAGGCCCTGGTCAGGACCGTCCTCCAGTTTGCAGGATGCCAGGGCTACAGAGAAGTGGTCCTCGTCACCAGCATGATGCAGGATGCCGCCCTGGCCCTCTACCAGCGCCTGGGCTTCTGGACCACCCGGAAGTACTACCGCAGCAAGATCTGGGCGGTGATCGCTGTCCCTGAGTTTCAATTAACCTACTGGCTGCCCTCTGATCAGAGCTGTCCTGCACCAGGGCAGAGAGGGGGCCTGTAATCTGTCCCCTGATTAGTCAGGACAGCCCTGCAGCAGTAACAAGCGAACCGGGAGATTTCACTGTGACAACCAGCATGGGAATGGAGTTTGTTTGTTAGCATGCAAACAAACCCCATGAGAATGACCATGGCTCTGCCCCTTTCAGCCTTCTTATGTTGTCACTGATGCATTTATTTAGTGATACAAGAGGGTTGCATAAAATCAATTACTTGGATAGTGGAAAAAAAAAACACAAACAGCAATTGCATTGGTTAAATTGTGAATTGTTTATGTCTATGGTAGGGAAAAACACAGGTCATTCTGAACAGAAGAAAAGTCTCGATTCCATCATATGTTTTATTATTCAAATAGGAACATGTCCTGCATCTTTTAAAATGGTGAGACATGTGCTTAAATTTTTAAACATAATCTAATATGGGATAATTGAGGATAAAATTATAATGAAGGCAATCTAAAAGTAGCTGAGGTTATAAATACCATTAGCCCCTGATATAAATGGATCACCTGTTCAGTTCTGTCCTTGACAGAAAGCAAAGCAAGGGAAGCTTATTGTTTTCATTGCTTGAATGAGGGAGATGTTGGAATGGAGCTGCTCTTTTGTTCTATGCAAGTGAATAGAAATTAATATCCCTCTTATGTTCTCTAGGTATTATATTGTAGACTACTCAATAAGCAAATGTATGCTTCTAAATTTAATTATTAATAATCTAAAAAATCTAAGATGAGAATCTTTTAAAATGTTCAGATTTATTACTTTAAGAGAATTAAAAACAGAAACAACTTAATTTGCAACTTGCACTCAACTTCAATCCTAATCAAGAACTGATTTAATAATGTTATTACCATGGTTTTTTTAAAAATATATTTTATTGATTTTTCTTACAGAGAGGAAGGGAGAGGGATAGAGAGCTAGAAATGTCAATGAGAGAGAAACATCGACCAGCTGCCTCTTGCACACCCCCTACTGGGAATGTGCCCGCAACCAATGTACATGCCCTTGACCAGAATCGAACCTGGGACCTTTCAGTCTGCAGACCGATGCTCTACCGCTGAGCCAAACCGGTTCCGGCTACCATAGGTTTTGATAAGTTTTATACAAGGTTATATAACAGATCAAACTGAGGAACCAAGTTAAAGCTAACTTATTCAGGGAAATGTTGTGATGTATCTAATTCCCTTCCTCCATAGGCAGAAATCTTTTTTGCCGATTACAAATTATCTATGTTTAACTTCTAAGGATAAACACCTAAAATCTCTAGCATTTTAAAAAGGCATATACCACCACCCCTTTGTCATTAAGAGAGGTTGTATATCTTTGTCACTTGTGTGATCAATGCTGTTCATAATATTGATGAGAGATTATCTCCCTCCCACAAATGTTTTCCTGGGTTTATCAGGTACTATCCATTACCTGATTATGTATTCCATCAGTCTTTTGGGAGTAAAAGTGCAGGGAAGAAACCCACATGTAACTGCTCAGACAAAGCAAGGAGGCTCATGTACTGAGCAGCATGAGGGGCAGAGAGGTGCCTGGAGGAGAGGTATTAGATATGCAGGTAGTGAGGGGTCCTGATTTAGCAGCTCTTGTTGACATAAAGTTGGTTTGTAACAGCTGGACTGCAAGGTTCTCTCTCAAATTTGTAATCTTATCACAGATTCATATCCTTTGCATTGTTCCCTGGCCACAGATTTCCTTTCTAACATGAACTAGCTGTTTTACAAAGTAGGCACCCTCTGAGTGGGTAACCTCACGTATGTCTATCTGCACACACCTATTTTCAGAATTAGAAAACACAGGGCCTTCTGATTATGATGGATTCAAGTCATCCTGTATCAGTATCTCTAGTCATTGAGAGGGCTGTTGTGTTTTTGAAGTCTGCTCTCTCTCTCTCTCTCTCTCTCTCTCTCTCTCTCTCTCTCTCTCTCTCCATTTTCTCATCTATTACTCTCACTGTCCTCCGTAAACATTTCTTTGGCTTTCCATGTATGTTACAATTTTGAATTAAAATCTATTCTAATGAAAATCCCATATTGTGCATTTCATTGTTCTGATGAATGTTTGCCATTGAAGTGAAGGGCATGTTTCACGTACATTTAAGTGCTTGAATGTGTAGCTCATAATGTATAGTAAGAAAAATGAAAGTACATTCATATAATACCACCTCTACAGGTACAGGAGGGAAGGATGCTATGAAAACTGGTAGACATTTAAATGGTGGTGGTGGTCATAACAGCTCACATTATTTCAGAGGTTATTTTGTGTCAGATTCTGTGGTGAGCAAGGACAAAATAGCCCTTTAAGGTTACTGATCTTTTAAATCATCCTTTTACAAAATTAGGACAAGAAGGCAGAGACCAAGTACACTTTCTAAGGCTCTAAACAATTCAATCTTGCCATGATCTTGGATCTGTTTGGCTTTGAGGCCTGATGTTCTAATGCCCCCTTCACCCCGGCAATACCAGTCTTGCCCAATATTTCCTTATGCTATAAAATGGATGAGGAAAGAGAAGTCCAAATATAACAGATGTCTCTGACAAGGCACTTAAGCTACCCGCTCATGTGCTTCTTGGTGACTTGCCATAACCAAATTGAAGATGGGAGCCTACCATATAGTTCCTCTTCAGAAAGAAAAGCAAACCTCCTCACAGTCATTTGTTTTGGCTGCTGTCCCTTTCTTTCCTTTCCTGGTTCACCAACCACTCTTCCATGCCACATCCTCTTATTATTTGCTTGTACATCCCACCCTCACACGCCAGGACGGAGTTGTTTTGTCGCTAAGAATGCCGGATTCACACAATCCAGGAGAGACCCTGCAGAACTTCTCGCTAACCTGTAGCCCACTGGTTGGCAAACTCATTAGTCAACAGAGCCAAATATCAATAACACAAAGATTTAACTTTCTTTTGAGAGTCAAATTTTTAAGACTTAAACTTCTTCTAACGCCACTTCTTCAACATAGACTCATCCAGGCCATACTATTTTGTGGAAGAGCCACTCTCAAGGGGCCAAAGAGCTGCATGTGGCTGGCAAGCTGCAGCTTGCCAACCACAGCTCTAGACAATGTAAAAAAAAAATAAAAAATATAAGCAGGACTGATGTTTGAATTCAGGGAACATAAAAATAGCACCAGTCTCTATCCCCTTCCTTTCCTTTTGAGAAAAAAAAAGTATATGAAATCCTCATTCTGAAACATTTAAAATAAATCGACACCCACAGCGCGAATCCAGCTTGGCTTCCTGTGTGAATACATGAAAGGTATGCCACATGTCTTACAAGAAGAAAACCTGTCACTGCCGCAATCACTCTTTGGATCTATGGAGCAAATGACCTCTTCAAGCAAAGCTTCCCATTTCCCAATGCGAAGTGCCCCCTTGGGAGAGCAGCCGTTACGGTCCCCGACGTGACGGACTGACGTCCCAACAGATCTGCCCGTGTGGGAGGGTGACAAGTGGTTTAATTACCCAATAGGTTCTCCTTCCCTAAGGTGTCTTTGGAAGATTGTATGAAACGAGTCTCTTCGCCTTTATTCCTGAAAGTGTCAGCGCTGCACCTCTTTTCATTATGTTCACACATAAGTTGAGAGATAGATCCTTTTCCAGATGTATTTATTTGGATAAGATCCTGGCAGCTTTGTCTCTTTCTTAAAAAAACAAACAACAACAAAAAAAACAAACACAATTCTGTTGCTAGTTTCCTTTGGGGGGAAAACACATGCCAATCATTTCAGAGCCAAGTTCACCTGCGTGTGAGCAGAAAGTGTGTTTATTTTCATAATTGAATACCTGTTCTCCTCCAGTGCTTCCTGGTGCTCTAGGCGACTCTTTGGTCTCTCTTTTTCCCTCCCTCCTCTGTGGGCTTTCTCTCTCCCTCCTTCCCTCTCCCAATTTTTTTTCTTTCTTTCTTCATTCAACAAATTTATTTTATGTAGATGCTAATCCCAAAGCTGGAGGGAATATTAGATATACTAATCATAGCCCACGTCGAAGGCAGATTCTGCCTAGCCGACTTGGCTCAGGGGTTGAGCATTGATGGACTTATGAACCAGGAGGTCCCAGTTCAATTCCCTCTCAGGGCACATGTCTGGGTTGTGGTCTGGATCCCCAGAAGGGGGAGTGCAGGAGGCAACCAATCAATGATTCTCTCTCATCATTGATGTTTACATCTTTCCCTCTTCCTTCCTCTCTAAAATTAGTTCAAATATATTTTAAAATAAAATAAAAGGCAGGTTCCATGCATTTTATGTTATCTTATGTTTAATTTATACAACAGTTGTATGCGATCAGTACTACTTATTCCCATGTAAAGATACGGAAACAGAAACATTAAGACATTTAATAAGTTGTCTGTGTTCACATAGCCGAGAAGAAACAGAATGAGGACATGAACCTCTGATGTTTGATGTTAGAACCTGGAGTCACAGATACCATATTATTTGGCTAATACAGATAGATCCTTCTTGATTTTCAATGTGGTTGCGTCCTGGAAAATACTGCATGCCAAAAATGTATGTATATAACACACCTAACTTGCCAAATATTATTGCTTAGCCTAGCCTTGCTTCCCTTGATGTGCTCAGAATTCTTCCATTAATTAGCCTGCCACTGGACAAACTCATTGCGTGCAAAGGCTATAATATAAGAAAATGCTGAAAAGCTCATGTAATTTATTGAAAACACTACCCAAAACATGTTGGCAACACAGCATCCTGTGGAGTAACAGTTGTTTATCTCATGATCCCTGGATGTCTGGGAGCTGTGCTCACTGCCACTGCCCAGCAGCCAGAGCGTCCCCTACCACATACATTAGTGGGAAAAGATCAACAGCCAACATCTGAAGGAGGATTTCTACTGCACATGTGTCACTTTTGTACCATCATAAAGTTGGAAAAGCTTTTTTTTAAAAATATATTTTTATTGATTTTTTTACAGAGAGGAAGAGAGAGGAGAGTTAGAAACATCGATAAGCTGCCTCTTGCACACACCCCACTGGGGATGTGCCT